GTCCTTGTGCTTCCAAGGTAGGGGCTTATGCCTCTGAGCTATCTCTCCAATCCCTAGAAAACAATCTTTTTTTTTTTTTTTTGGTAGCAGGGATAGAACTCAGGACCTTGTCCTTGCTAGGCAGGCACTTAAACCCCTGAGCTATCTCCCCAGCCCCCCAATTCAGTCTTGCTCTAGGATGAATGACCATCATCAAGAAATCAAGTAATTACAAATGCAGGCAAAGCTGCAGGGAAAAGGAAACCCCTCTACATTGTACAACCAAAGTACAGCTATGCAAATCAGTATGGTGGTTCCTCAAAAAATTAAAACTAAAAATTCCACTTTACCCAGCTACTCCTCTTTCCAAAACAGTTAAACACAGCCTATGAGAGTGACATATAGTACACATGTTTGTGTACTATAATTCACAATAGCTCAATCTTGGAAGTGGGCTATACACCCCTCAGCAGATGAATGGATAAAGAAAATGTGGCATTTACACACAATAGAGTACTACTCTGCCATAATGAGAAACTTGAGTCATTTGTAAGGAAAACAGATAGAGCTTGAGACTATAACGTCATGAGAAATCAATCAGGCTCACAAGCTTACATATAGCAAGGTTTTTCTCATACGAGAAACCCAAAATACAAATAAAAAGCAAAGTAAAGGAAGGATATAAGACGCAGTGAGATGGATCTTTTTCAGATGTGAAGTGGACTAAGAGAATGGGTGAAAAGGTGTTGGGGAAGAAAAACTGATTGGGATGAGGTACATTTGTGTCTCAGCTCCAAACACAGAATACAATCATTAAGTACAGCAAATGTAGACTAATACAAATAAAAAACAAAAAAATTCTAGTTTTGAAATTAGCAAAAAAAAATTGTTTCAGACTTAGGCCACTCAGGACCTCATGAAGAAGCAACCAGACATGACCTAAATAAAAATATTCATTAAGGTTTTGGTCGTACCTCCATGGAACCCCACATAGGATGCTCCGCTTCCCACCCGGGACAGCTTAGTGATGAAATAGACAAAGATATAGCTGTTCCTTCCTTGTGTTTTACTGACCTCATTGAGAGCAGAATACCTATTAAAAAAGATAAACAAGAAGCAGAACAAGTAAGCAAATGAACCTTGGGAAAGTTGGGCAAATCTTACGCATGTCTTAGGAGCTCTGCTTTTAGAAGCGCTCAGTCAATTTTACCTCCTCACTTCCCTTATGAAAGACTGCCATTCTCGTTCACTGGGCTCACTCCACACAATTTCCTGTGCCCTCTGCTTGGGAGGAGCCTTTCTCCACTGATCTCACCCTCCGGGGCTGCCCTGCTGGGATAAGGGGTGAGGCTCGCTGGCCTCCCTACTTGTGGAGAGTTCTGAGTTCTGGGTGATGTCACTCATAGGACCCAAGCCCAAGCCAGTTTCCCAGTAGCATGTGACTCATCCCTGAAATGCTCATGGCTTCCGATGCTTCAAGAGGCAAAGGAATCATTCCCAGTTGGACACACAGGAATGAGAGAATACCATCTAAAAGCACCAGATTATGTCTGCACAAGGCCATAGTAATGTCTGAGACATACAAAAAGAAGTATTTATACACTGTTACTGCCCTTGAACTTGTAATACATCCTGATTCTGTAATTCAAAATTATGAACAGGGCTGGTGAGATGGCTCAGTGGTCTAAAGCACCTACTTAGAACAAGCTTAGCAAAGCACAGGGACCTCGGTTCATTCCCCCAGCACCACATGCCAGCCAGCCCCGCCCACTGGTGGGCTGAGCTGTCCCCCCCCACAAATAAATAAATAAAATTAAAAAAAAAACACAAAATTATGAACAGCTGGGCATGGTGGTATACACCTATAATCCCAGAACTCAAGAGGCTGAGGTAAGAGGATAACTGTGAGTTTGAGGCCAGCTTGGGACACACAGGGAGTTCAAGGCCAGCCTGCACTACATATTGAGATCTTTCCTCAAAAAAAAAACTAAACCAAAACAAAATGGGCCAGCAATATAGCCCAGTGGCACAGCGCCTGCCTGGCAAGCACAACGTCCTGAGTTTGATTCCTGGTACAAAACAAAACAAACAAAACTCCCCTCTCACAATCAAACAAAATGACTATAAATGTATGCTTTAAGAATATTCAGGGGTTGGGCCGGGGAGATGGCTCAGTAGTATAAGTGCTTGCCTGGCAAGCACAAGGGCCTGAGTTCAATCCCCAGTTCCGCAAAAAAAAAAAAAAGAATATTCAGGGGCCAGGGAGATGGCTCAGTAGAATAAGTGCTTCCCTGGCAAGCACAAGGGCCTGAGTTCAATTCCTAGTTCTTCCAAAAAAAAAAAAAAAAAAAATCATACCAAGAATAGTCATGCATATTCAGTTGTCAAAACTTTTTATATTTTATTTATTTAAAAATGTTTAATGTATTTGGTACAGGGTCTCACTATGCAGCTTAGACTGATAGTGATCCTTCTGATTTCAGCCTCTTCAGCACTGGGATTACTGGCATGCCCCACAGGCCTGGGGGTGGGGCCGGTGCAACATGTAGTGCTGGGGATTGAACCTGAGTCCCTGTGTTTGCCTAAGCAGGCACTTAGTCTGCTGAGCTATTTTGCTGGCGCAACACCTTTTATATTTCAGTTGTTCACCTTTTTGTTTCATCTGTCTTCATTTTCTCTAGTGCACATTTGGGGGAATGAGAAGGAAGAGAAAGTTTCCGGTTTTTTTTTTTTTTTTTGTATTTTAGGGCAGGGCCTACAGGGTGTTCAGGGTCTCACTACAAGATCGGACTCATAGTGATCTGCCTGTTAACAGTCTCCCAAAAGCTGGTTATTACAGGCGCACGCCACCACGCCCAGTCTCAATTACCATCTCAGTGTGCCCCAGGGGCGGGGCTGGCACAGCAGGCCTTGGAATTGAACCCCTGGCCCCTGCGCCTGCTTGCAGGTGCTTTAATCTGCTGAGCTATTTGGCTGGCCCTTTATTTTTATTTCTATGCTTAAAATATTGTTTTGGGGGAAGAAACTTTTTAGGCAGTTCTGAATGAATTGTGGATTTCTCACTTTTTTTTTCTTTCGTGGCATATGGTGCCAGGTATCAAACCGTGCTCCCTGCACTTGCCTAAGCTTGCCCAAGCAGGTGCTTTAGACCACTGAGCCATCTCACCAGCCCTCTCACTTTGTTTTCATCTTTTCTTTTCATTTTGTTTCTTTGTTTGGAGACAAGATCTTACCATATAGTTCGGGCTGGCCTTGAACTCTGTGTGTAGCCCAGAACTCATGGTAATCCTCTTGCCTCAGCCTCCTGTGTGCTGGCATTTTAAGTGTACACCACTGCATCTGGCTTTCCTAGGTAGTTTCTGAAAAGAACACTGAAAACTTACTTAGCAGAGGCAATGAGCTGGGCACTGTAGGCGCCACTGTCAAAGTCGGTCTGAATGATAAGGATTTTACAGGTGGCTGTACTTGCTAAACAGTTTCTGAAAAAAAAAAAAAGTAAGTTATACAAATGATTTCTTTGTCCCTAAATATGGATAACAAAAATTCTCCAAAGGGCACGGGCTGTGCAGAAAACAGCGCTCAGCTGGGATTTCCTCCAGGAGGCAAGCAGGCCATTGACTGCAGAGGGAAATGGCAAGCACACGCGTCCTCAGACAGAAGGACAAGGCTGTGGAGAGGCCCCTGATGACACAACCTAAGGGGACAGGGGAAGCCTGAACATCCAGCCTTGCAGAGTAATGAGACTTCACATGGTGGGATGGGGGATGGGGGATGGGGCTGGAGCAGTGGGGGCCTCACCTGACTGCTCTGAGGAAAGAGTGCTCCGTGTCAAAATGTTGCAGTGACAGGACGGTGGGCTTCGAGGCCAGGCCCTCCACCTCCGACGCTAAGATTTCACAGTCATGACTAGTCAGCAGCCTGGAGAAAGTGGTGATCTGCAAAGAGAGGCACACACACTGTTCACCAGGACGCAAGGGATGGGGTACCCTGTCTCCAAGGGCTGCCGCCTTGAGCAGTGAAGACCCAGAGAAGAAACCACAGCCCAAAGAGCTGGGCCTGGAACACAAGCAGGGCCGAGGTAAGCAGGGTGAGTGGGACCTCTTGGGTCAGATGGTATCAGCAAGAAGAATGTTTGCTTTGGCCCCTGCCTCAGATTCTCCTGCTGCCACAGCTTGCTGTAATGCCTCAGTCTTTACAAATGCCTCAGTCTTCCTGTGTGTCGCGCTCTCAGGTGGAGTTAACCTTGGCTGCCTCTTCTCCCACTCAGCAGCTAGAGATTTTCCTCTACTACAGATGGTGACTGCATCCTACAGGACCAACTCCGATGTTCTTCAAGGCATGTTACACCTCTGCTCTGAGTTCCTCCTCTCTGGGTCAAGGAGCTGCCAGTTCTTAGATCTAACTACACAACAAGATATCCATCTCAGATGGACCTTAGTGTTAGCTCCCCAAACAGCTCAGGAAGAATCTTAAGCCATTTCCAGACTCCTCTACTACCCACCACCTCTCTAAGAACTAACAGCTCAGCCATCTGCACCCTAACCATGCCCTGTCCCCTTTCCCCTCCTCTGCCTTTCCTTCTTATCTTTTTTTTAAAAACTTTTAAATATTCATTTTAAAAATATTTATTTATTGATTTATTTTGTGTGTGTGTGTGGCCAGCTCAGCCCACCAGGGGGTGGGGCTGGCTGGCATGTGGTGCTGGGGGATTGAACCGCGGCCCCTGTGTTTTGCTTAGCTTAGCTTGTTCTAAGTAGGTGTTTTAGACCACTGAGCCATCTCACCAGCCCTCTTATCTTCTTTTTTACTGGTTATTGAACCCAGCATCTTCACAATGAGCTAAGTCATTAGCCCCTTTATTTTAATCTACAAACAGGGTCTAAGTTACTAAGTTACTCACGTTAGGTTCACACTTAAAAGCTTTCTGCCTCAGCCTCCCCAGAGTGCTGGGATTGTAGGTGTGTGCCACCATGCTTGGCTCTTATCCATTTTTGATTCCATCTCTATTCTACTTTCATTGCCCTGGTCCAACAGCTTCCTGACAGCTACCTTTCCTGTAACAGCATTCTTTCACTGCTTTCCTATCATCCAAGCAATGGGGTGCGACGAGACCCACACTGCTCCATTCAGAAAAGACCCCGCCCATCGGGGCCACTGTTAAGGCCCTGTGATAACCTCATCTCTTGACCCCGCGCTCACATCCTGGAACTTGCAGCTCCATCAGCGGCCCTTCCTGGGATCTGGCAGGATCTCACACTTCAATCTCTTTGCCCCCAGAGGGCCTGCTCAGCCAGTTCCAGGGGACTCTTTTAGGGAGAACTACGTCTGACTTCATCTCTTGCCACCTCCTTACATTGTGTTTATCCCACGAAACCGCAGTGCTGTGTGTCCCACACTGTACCTATACTGACTGTGGCCCACAGAGAATTATGCCAATTCATTTTGCACATGCCTTTCACTACTGTCAGCACAGAGATCTGCTAAGGATCCTGGTTAAATCGAACTCACTCTCATGTCATGCAGAAAGGAGCCCTACATCCACACCTCCCATGAATATCCCTGAGCACAGATATGAACAGAATGTGAATTCCTGGCCCTCAAGATTGAACTCCTGAATGACAGAGCCTTGGGTACAGCTAGGGGAAGATGGTCACCTCAGTAAAGATGGCATGGCGTTCCAGGCCCTCAATGTGCAGGTGAGCCTGCAGGAAATCTGCAAAGGAATTGTGTTCCTGCTTGTAGTAGTACTCCTGTGACAGCTCCTTTGCGGCAAATGAGCCCAGGCTGGAGGTGTTCAGGCGCACCACGGCGTCAGGTGTGGCACAATCCAACAGGATCAGCTTGGCCTCTTCCAGCACCTTGTGGTCCAGCTCCTTGTGGTCTAGCTCCTCCATCTCAAGCCTGGAACCCTGCTTCTCTGTAGCCTGCAGCACCACAGAAGCACAGGCATCCGAGTGGTAGCCAATGAAGACATCCACAGGGCTGTAACTATGCCCAGCAAGGAACTGGTCTGCTTTCACATCTGCGAACTTCTGTGCCCAATCTGTGAGCTGGTGCACAATCTTCTTCTGCCAGGGCTCTAGCACAGTATGGATGTCTAGGAAATGCTTCTCCAACCGGTTGATAAGGGGCACAGGGAACTGTTGGTACACAACGTCCTTCTCCTCAATGACGATCAGGCGGAAAGCTGGGTGGACCCGACACTTGACACGGTGGGTGCCTAGGCCGAGGTCCACATACTTCTGGCCCCCGAGGTAGACGTAGTATTGGTTGAGTGCATCGTACAGGCTCTCATAGAGGTTCTGTAGGTTTAGCAGCACCACCATCTTGCCTGTCTCCATGCAGATCTTCACTCGGTTGATGTTGCGGCAGATCTGCATGTATTCTTGGTCCTGGCGAAAGCTGGAACCAAAAATGATCTCTGGCTGCTGGTCCTCACCAAAGAAGGTCTGCTGCAGGATCTGCAGGGCCACATAGTTCTTGGTCAGCACGAGTAAGTAGCGGGTCTCAGTGTCATCCAGTTCTGTGCCTAAGGCCCTCTGCAGACCTCCATAAATGTTCTGCTTGATCAGCTCAATGGTGTTGACCTCCTCCGTCCACTTGGCTTCAGGCAAACTGGTTGTGAAAATGTCCAAGGCCTGGATGTCATCTTTGCCACTGAAGTTCCGAAGGACAGCCTGTGCAATATTCTGTGGGGAAGGCTTCTTATTAGATGCCTTAGCCATGGCATAAACCATCTTGATGAGGCTGTAGTAATCACGAAGCCCAAAAAACTCCTTATCCTGTTTCTTGCACACCACTTCGTATGCTCTGGCAAAGGGGCCGAAGTACCCTTGGATTTTGTCCAAAAGCAGGTTGTCAGAAGAGCAGATCCCCTTGGCACTATCTATGAGCTCTTTCTCATTGGGACTGCCACGTGACACAAAAATGCCCCGGTTCATCTTGGCAGGGTCCAGGGCCCAATTGGAAATGCCTATGAAGCCAACTTTTTTGTGGGGCGCAGGGTCATCTTCAATGCAGCCATCTTCCAGCAGGGGGTGTAGTGTCTTCAGGGGCATTTTGGGGGAGTCTTCAGCCAGTCCGACCTCATCTAGCACTACTACAGAGACATACTGCCGTAGGTCCTTACCCTGCTGGAAGCGGGCACACTGCCTGAAGGTACCAATGATACCTTGGGGGGTAGAGTGTGGGCTGCACTGGAAGGACACCAGGTGGACTTGCTTTAGGGCACGGAAGAGACTGGAATGTGCAGCCTGGCCTTGCATGGCATCTGCCACTATGGTCTTTGCAAGAGACTTGGAGCTGCCTGGCTTCCCCACCAGGAAGAGGGGGATCTTCAGCTCAATGCAGATGATCATCATGAAGACATTCTCCTTCAAAGCCAAGTTCTTGGCAATGGTTTTCCTGAGGGGTACACCACTTAGAAAGAGATCCTGGGCCTGAGTGATCTCATCCAGGACAACCTTGCTGTCCTTGTATGGCTCTGGCAGGAATTTGCAGATGGCCCTCCGGTATGGTTCTTTCCTTTCTAAGGAGGCATGGTAACAGACCCCAATGGCCAGTACCAGGGACCAGAGGACAGGATCTCTCTTGAAGTTATTTTTGCTAGCATTGGATTTGGAGAGAAAGGTGTTGAGATGTTCCAAGAGCATATTGCTGTGCTTGTGGAACCACTGGAAGACTCTCACACAGCGCTCCACATCCCGGAGGCTGACAAAACTGCACTCATTCTCTCTCTGCCTCATGAAGCCCTGGGAGGCGGACAGCACGTCTGTGATCATGCGAATCTCACTGTCATCTATCTGCATGGAGTCCGCCAGTCTCCAGACAATTTGCTGGATATACAGCCTCTCAGCAGTGTTATTCAGTTGCCCAAAGTCCCACACCAGAGGAATCAAGCTTGGTGGCAGAGCGTGGACGCGATACACCAGCTGCCTCAGGGGGATGGAGCCCAGCTTCTCTGCTGTCTCCTCAGCGCTGACCCGGTATCCCAAACCAGCTGACTCTAGGCGGCAGATCATCTCCTGTGAGTGTTTCCGGTAAGGATTGCAGGCAGCTATGATGTGCAAGCCCGAGTTGTCCTCCAGTGGACAGCCATTCACTGTCCCATCACACAGAACTTCTTTGATACAACTTATGGCTTCTGTTGTGTTGGCTTCATCAAAGAACAAGATGGTGTCCAACCAGTATTGGTACTTATTGATGAAGGCAATGTCCTCAGCCTCCTTGACACTGGAGTAGACCATGCTGGGCGTCGTTCCTCCGTGGACCTTGACCAGTTTCATGGTGTTGGTGTTGGCACCAGCACGCCGCAGGTCACTGAGGAACTTAATGAGTCTGGTTTTCCCACAGCCAGTTTCTCCCATGATAACAACTGGGATCCCACACCGAAATCGCATTTCAATGGCTAGGATCTTAAGCATGTTGTCTGTTGTAAGCTCATAGGTTTCATCAGGGTCAATGGCCCACTGGATCCCTATTGCCTGACAAAGCCTTTCAAGTTTCTCATGTCTGGGCAGACTATCAAAGTCAATGTTGAAAGGCACCCTCTGCAGCAACAGCCCCCTGTACAGCTCTGTGGTCATGACATTTCTCTTGATTACTTTCCCATTCAAGTGATTGATGGCATCAATGCTGCCATTGCTATTGGGCTGGAGGTAGAAGCCAATGAATGTCATGGTCACCCGGTCACCATTGAAAAAAATATATGGATGGGGTTCTGATTCCCACCTCTTTCGGAGAGAGAAGGGGGCTAGGTCTTCTTCTTCAACCCCATCCAAGGGGACCATGTAATTCCCTGGGCTTTGGTCAGAGGTGTGCAGTGTTGGTGTGGCAAAGTCTCTCGCCATGCAGACCATGAAGGTTACTACAAAGTTCTTGAAGCCCCTCAGTGTGTCCCCAACAAACTCTGCATTGCAGAAGATAGAGGCCTCACAGTCTCTGAGCTGACAGTTTAAGAAGCGAGCAAAGTTCTGAAGTTCTGACCAAGATGGGTTCACCACCCCACAGTAAATCAGGAGGTGCTGGACACATTCTTCTGGAGTGCCTTCCACAGAGCCTTCTTGGTATTTAAATGTGTCTAGGTCTTCGTTTTGGTGGAATCGTCTTAAATATTGGTAAGGTCTCTGGAAAGTCTCACTACAGAACTCTATCTTGTCCATTCTGGGCTCTCCGTTGCTTCCTCTGGGAGTCAGTTCCATGTCTATCACTTCTTTAGGAGGTCTACAGGTGACTTTGGGGAAGATGTCAAGAAAACTGTACTGGGGGGCATGTGCACGCTGCAGAGGAGAGACAAAAATAAAATGGTTAGGACTACCTTTGTGTTCTAACTTTCTACATGGCCTACACTGTTGGACTTTTATGAAAAAAATTTACATGAGTATGCATGGTTTCCAAGAGCCTCTCTTTCACAAGGCATCACGGAACCTGAATTCTGGTAGCTGCATCCTTAACCAGGAAATCATTTTCTAACCCAACTTTCTGAAACCCAGTTTCTCACTGCGTATGTGTGAGTGCGGTTATATGGAGACACAAAATCCTCTTTAACTAAAGTTTCAACAGGGAATGTCTCCTTGCCATCTTAACCTGCAATGAAGGGTAGAATGACTCTACAGATGAACTTCCCTGCTTGGAGAACACAGCTGGGGTTTAACCTAAACATACAGTGCTAATCCCTAGTGGAACAAGACTCATTTAGGGGTCTGTTAATTCTTACAAGAGTATTCTTATTCCAGTCCTTGAAAAAATTGATAGTTTTTTCCCCCTTACTAACATAGTACCATCTCAGTTGCTTCCCTATAGCAAAAGTTGAGGGACTACAAAATCCTATCACCTGAACCCTGAAGGATGCAGAACTGAAGTTTCCCAAAACCTGTAGCAAGGTTCTACAATACACACCGGGTGTGAAGGCCTGTTTAGCATTGCCGACTTTCCTTCCAGGATTTCAACAATATATAAATGGCGTGGGTTCCGAAGCCACATTTTTCCATTTATATCCATGAGGTATTGCAAAACGAGGAGTTTGAAAAGAAAGACCCAAATTCCAGTCTGTACCTAAAGACGGAGATACAAGGGTTTGTAAACACACAAGCTGATGGACCATTCTTCTGGTCCTAAGTTGTCCTTTGAGGCTATGACAATGGTCCCAGATACACAGAAGGTGGGTAGGAGGTGGGAACGATGTCTTTCTTGACACACTAGGGAACTTACGGAAGCAGTCACATCTAAGTGGAAAATCATAGGCTTCTTCTTGTATCGTGCATCCAAGAAGGGTAGGAGGGAGCCTAGGACTTGGTTCTCATCCACCCGAGGGTCAGTCAGCCGAATAACTTTCAAAGATCCCTTGTTACCACTGGACTTCTCTTCCAGTTTGCCACACAGTCTCTTCACGTAGAGAGACTTTCCTATGATGTTAAAATATGTAAGTCAGATCCTAAGATGATGGGCCAAGAATCCACACAGATCTATTAAAAGTTACTTCTCATTGTGTAAAATTCAAACCTGATGCAACTCGACATCAGTGCATAGGTGCATGGAGCCCCCAAATCTCCTGGCTACGCCCCACCTGTTACCTTCACCTTTTTCCTGCTACTGACTATAGCCTATGTGCAGTGAAGGCAAGAGGAAAGGTGCTCCATGGGGAGGGGGAAGGATAAAAGCAACAGAATGAAGTCACCCTTCCCTTCCATGGAAATACAGGAAGGAGAGCGAGGGGCACCTGAGTTGGCTTGAGATAGAGTATCACACCTGCTCTGCTCACAAGCAGCATCGATACCAAAGAGGCCAATGCAGTTAATGAGAGGAAAGCAAACTGCAGAGAACACTACTTGGCAGAGGGAGTTCCTGGGAACTGTTGCATTTACAACCCAAGAAAAGAATGCTGTGTTCTAATTAGGATAGGTAACAGGAGGTCAGACCTTCTGGAGATGCAGAAGGGCTTTATCTGAGCCACTCACAGCCAGAGAGGGCAGGACCACTTGGCAACCCCCACCTCCAGACAGGGGTCCCCCCCACTCATTACCAACACCCGCTCTCTCGGAGGTCACGATTCCAACACACATCCGGTCTCTGAACACTGAAGCTGCTGATGGGATCTGTTTTGGGACCTTGTAGTGGTGCTTAAGGTAGGCCTGGATGCCCAGGATGGACTCCTGTGGGGTGAAGAGGGTTTTGTGCTGGCTGAATGCTGAGGGGAGGCAGCAGTGCTCCCGGGCTGCATCACAGATTACTACCAGCTGGTAGTCCTCGCGGTGGTGCTGTGTGCACAGGTTGTGGAAAAGTACCTCCACCTGGGAGGCCACCTCATAGTTCAGCTGGTCGGCAAACAGCAGGCTGTAGATCTTGTGCCCCTGAGCACCTGGGGTGAGGCAGCGGCGTAGGAGCAGTGCCACCTCCTCAAATGTGGTCTCTGGGGTACACAGTAGCACCTCATCAAAGGAGGGCAGGGGTTTGTCCGGAGCCTGCATGTAGATGGCTAGGGCAGCAAGCAGCACCTCAGAGTGGCCACACAAGACCAGGTTGGGCTGGCCCATGCGCAGGCCATTTGGGAGAGGCCGCTCCACTGGGGACCCAGCCATGTGAGCCAGCTGAGCCAGACAGAGACCAAGGGCATCCAGGTCAAGACAGGCAGGCAGGAAGGCACTCGGGCACACCAGGGACTGCTCCATGATGAACTGTAGCTTGGTCTCCAGGCTGACCTTAGAGTTCAGCTGCCGTGATAATTCTGTCCCCATGGGATTCACACTGTATAAGGAAGGCGTGCCATCACACCTTCCAGTGGCCCTTAGGATGTCATCTAGGGTACAGTTACTTTTGATGAAGGATAGCATGGTCAGGGCAGCTTCGCTGGGGTAGCGCTTTTGGAGCTCAGTGCTCAGGTAGACCAGCTGTTCAGCAGTGTAGAAGTTGAGGTAAAAGTGCTCGGCACGTTTCTCCTTCACAAAGCTCTTCCACTGGTCCAGAAAATGCTCCATCTGCCTGCAGAGGGCTTCCAGGCACACGATGACATCCCCTTCCTCTGACAGCTGTTTCAACAGTGCCAAGCCGAAGTCCAGGCGGATGGATTTACCTTTCCCGGGGGAGCAATAGACCTCAGCCGTCCAGGCCCTGAAGAGCATGTTGCCAGCAGTGTACAGGTTGAGGAAAGCCTGCAGGAGACGCTGCATGCCAGAGAACACCTGGGGAGCAGAGGCCATGAGGAGACAATGGGCAGCAATGAGTCTAGACACACACAGGATTACGGTTCAGGGGACTTGGGCTCACTTATATCCACTGGCTTACATAGCATTTATAAATGGGTTCTTCCTTCCCCATCACCATGGTCAGCTTAGTAGGAGGGTCCCTTTCTTAAGGAAGCATGAAGGTGAAAGATAATGAATGCCAAATGCATTAAAGAGCTTAAATGAGCTTTAAGGACAGACCCCACCAGAGAAGGGTGAGACTCACATCAGCCAACACTCCTGTGCCTGTATGGATCCTTCAGCACCAGAATCAGCACATGTTCGGATTTTTGCCAATTTGCAAAGTAGTGAAGCAACTTATAATTCTTTGTAAGAACTATCCCCCCCGCCGTCCCGCCAGGGCCTGGGAGATAGCTCAGCAGTGTAAGTGCCTGCCTGGCAAGCACAAGGTCCCAAGTTTGAGCCCCACTACTGGAAGAACTACCCACTGGGGTTACTTTTTTTCTAACACAGTACATTAATGACTGGCACATCTATTCAGGTAGTCTCAAGAAGGAAATGCTTTTCCCAAAGTTGACCTGGTCTAAGCCCTCTCTCTGGAGCTAATACTTGGGGCTATAAGCACCCATAGATCCACCATGAGCCAAGTCATTCCGTCCAGCAGATGCCAACTTGAACTTTCTCAGGCTGCGTGGTGGTGAAAGTGCTCAGCCCAGCCCAGGGTGGTGGTGGTACTTGCTGAGTGCTAGCACAAACTCAAAGCTCACCTCAGAAAACCTCTCCACTTCCTCATTGTTGTGGTCTTTCTTGCCAGACATCAGCATCAGCTTATTCAAAAGCTCCTTCAGCTCCTCCAAAGAGTAACTGCGCACTTCCTCCATGCTGCCAGGGTTCTCAGGGAGAATGAGGTTCAGGACGGCATCCGGGGAAATCTGGGAAGTGGCACGTTTTCAGAGGTCAACTCCTGAAGGCAGAAACCCCTAAACCTGTGGCAGGACAGTAAGCTCCACCCAAACCCACAGTAGATTTTGATATACAAGGAGCTCACCTTCTGGCCACCTGTGGGTGCCTTGAGCACATAGATGCCCTTGCTGTTGATTGCTTTGGCCAGGGTCAGGGATGACAACTCGACGGACCCATGGCTTTCCTTCACTGTTTTCAACCACTCCAAGTTCCTGGCAGAATCTCGCTGTTGGAATAAAAGCAGACAGCATGGGTTAGAGTTCACAAGGCCATCTTCTCTCTCAGTCTCCTCTGCCTCTGCCCTTACCGGGCAGACTCTGCTTGCCCCACTCCAAGGCTGTGGGTGTGGCTACTGGCCTAGAACCATGACTGCATTAGGTGCCACTACTGTCCCTCAGGACCTATATCACTTAGAGAGGCGATCTGCTTATCATTCATATGCCCACCGGTGCCTGGTGTCCCCATGATGTGTGGAGGGCCATTAGATGGCTGGGTAGACACCCACAAATTGTGCTTTTCTGTGAGTCACCATTCTGCTGGACCTTGGGGCACAGTGCTTTCCAAGGGGTGTTAAGAAGTGCTAAGGTTTGAGGCTGGAGAGATAGCTCAGTAGAATAAGTGCTCGCCTGGCAAGCGCAAGGTCCTGAGTTCAATCCCTGGTACCACAAAAACACAAGGCATGTACTTCACCACCTATCCCTTTTCTGACATTGCCAGTCCTGTGGATGACTCACTACTATTATGGACTACTAGACCATATTGGAATATTTTGATGAATTCATGCACCTACAATATTTAAATGACAGTGGAATACCCTTCTCTGACAAAACTAAACAGAAAAAGGGGAAACAAATGAATGACCATTTTGTATCTGTATATTCAAGATAGTTGGGATAGATATACAGCTACATCCTCTTAATTCAATGAGTAAGATTTGTTGTAATAGTGTATGTGGATGGGATGTCATGTCTGCATCTTGTACAATGAATAACCGCTGAGACAACAATGTGCAATGTATTTATTATTGAAACGGTCCTACTGATCGGTTTTGAAACTGTCTCATTGCTATTTGTTTCTCAATAAAATTATTACAAAATAAACAAAAAATAAATAATTTTTTTAAAAAGGAGTGCTAAAGTTTAGTGTGTTTTTTGTTGTTGTTGCTGTTGTTTATTTTTGTTTTTTTCCTGGTACCTGATGAAAACCACAAGAATTAAAGAAAAACTGCAAGAGAGGCTCATGTTTGCAGCCTCAGGCATCAAAGTTGTAAATTACTACTTCTGTCCACCCCCCCCACACACCTTCTTCCAAGCACAAGAAGAACCATCTATCCTGAGGCTACTGTAGGCAACAGTAAGCACCTCTGCTGATCTGGAAGACATGGAGTATAAGATACCTCAGACCCTGCCATGGATATTTGATGATACTTAAAACATTTTTATCTGATCAAAAATTAAAAGTTAATTAACATATCTATGCATGGTGGCACTTACTTGTATCCAGCTTCCTGGCAAACTAAGGCAGGAGGATCACAAGTTTGAGCCCAGCCTAAGCAACTTAGCAAAACCTTGTCTCAAAATTAAAAAAACAAATTTAAAAACAAATTCCTATACCCAAAAGGCAATGCGCCAGGCACCACATTAGGCTTGTGTGCACCTTATCTCCTTCAGTCTACCCAATATCATCACTTAGAAAATGATGCTGGGAATATAGCTCAGGGCAGAGGCCTGGGTTCAGCCCCCAGGAATGGGGAAAAAAATGCCAGTTGTAAAGATACCAAAAAGTAATAGAATCATAGATTAAAACTGCCACTTGAGACAACTACTGGCAATATTGTAATATATTTCCCTAAAGTCTTCTGTGTTCCAGGGTAGAGACTATTGCTGACATGCACTTTTGTTCCTTCCGTTTCTAACCAAAGCCAGAGAAGGCATTCCACTGTGGAAAGAAGACGGTCTCTATGCGCCAACTTGAATGGCTGCCCACATACCTGCTACACAGCTCTGCCACCCTGCACACGGCCACTCCCCCAGGTCCCCTAAGCGCTGCTTTCCTAAACTCCATCTGCCGTGGCACCAGGAACAAGACTCACCAGCTTATCGGGCAGGTTCTCGTCATTGTCTAGAGCCTTCCAGAGCTTTGTCAGATGGCCTATGAACACCTCAAAGTCTGCTGTCTTATCCAGATCATAGAGCAGGCAGGCGTAGCCCTGCACAGCATCATGGAAGCAGGCCACACGGTCCACATCGATGTCGTTCTCCCCCGCTGAGATGGAGGCCAAATCTACAAACACCTTGAGTTCATTGATACCTTAGGCAGACAAGAGAAGAGCTCGGTGTGGCACCACCCCTCGACAAGATGACATTCAGGTTTGGGCATCATTCCTAGTGATGATATCAATGGGCACTAACTGAATGTTCAAGGCTTTACCACTCCCTATGTTCAATAAGGGAGTTGTCCCTGCCTTTCACAATATATGTTGACCACTGATAGACACTCTACACCCAAAAACCAATGTGCCAAGTACCACATTAGCCTTATGTGTACCTTTATCTCCTTTAGTCTACTCAATATCATCACTTGGAAATAAACACAGGTTCAGCTGGTAAATAATATATTGAAAATTAAGTGTGATAAATCAAGATAACACTTCTGGAGCTAACTGATAATCAGGGAATGTGCATGAATGTAGATCCAAGAGTGCACAGCAAAGCAAGCAAAAGCTGGACCCAGTGAGCCTGTGTTGGCAGGAGGAAGCCCACATCCATGTCCCCACTACATACCCGTGCTGCTGTCTGCCCACTTCTCACTGCCTCAACCCAGTCCACCTAACCAAACAGGCTGCCAAGGCCCCGGATGGAAGAGATGCACGTGGGCATATTGAGCATCTCTCCATGGACAAGAATTCTCCTTGCATTTTGTTAAAACCAAACAACACACACACACACATGCACACACACACACACAAAGAAAACACCTAGAAGAAAGAGCTATAGGGGACAGAATTTATATGAGAATGACCCTTCACTCTTTATAGCAAGCATACATAGAGTGGGAAGAGTGGCAACAGGTTTTTACATTAGGAGCAGAGAAGTGTTCTGATGTAAATTCTATCCACAGCCAATGAAGCATGCACTGCTCGTCTACCTAAAGTATTCAGGCAGTCTGGTGTGGTAGTGCACACCTGTAATCCCAGCACTCTGGGAGGCCGAGGCAGGAGAATTCCAAGTTCAAGGCTAGTCTGGACAACTTAGTGAGACCCTGTCTCAAAATAAAATATAAAATTAAGGGCTAAAAATGCAGCTTAGTGCAAAAGCCCTAGCGTCAACCTCTCGTACAAAAAAAACAAAAACAAAAACAAAAAACCCCACCAAAACCAAACAACCCTTCCCAAAGGTAGGCAACATTTTTCTACCTTACACATGGGACTTACATGGGGATGCTGTGTGAACATGTCACAAAGAGCAGGAAGCACACACAGGGAGCCATCGGAGACAATAGTAGCCACAGCAGGCCCAAAGCACTGACCATACCTTCCAGTGCCTCATGGAGCCAGCTGACAAGTTCTGTCTGCAGGCACAGCGCTTCCAGACATTGGCGGCGCGGCTCGCTGATATCTTGTAGCTTCTTCTTGGCCTGGATAAGCTGTGGGCTGATCTGGTCCAGTGTCTCATGGCAAAAGCTCTCGAAGTCATCATTCTACAAGACAAATCTATGCTGGGGGCTGGCAAGGGCGGCTGGAACACAAGTCTGCAGGGGACCACAGCGTAACTATGGGGTTATGGTCCTCCAACTCCAGATGAGCAGTTGCTATGGCAACAGGGGGATCTGGGGGACATGGAGGTCAATGTGAACACAACTGCTGCTCTCGGCTGACTGAAAGTCATTAACCACTGCCCGCACCTGCCATCTTCCTAAGAAGCTGACATGAACGCAGAATCTGTTCCTCACAATCACCCTCCAGGTCCACGCTGCTCTTCTTTTTGCATTATCCATCAAGAAACAGGCCCAGAGCAATGATTTACAGAAGAACATGCTGCTGGGTTCAAGGTGAAGTTTATCATGTTCACACTTTTTTTCTACTACCAGGGCCACATTATGCCTTATAAACACACATCTACCAAGAAAAGATTCAAACCTTAGCTCTCACATTGGCAAAGTATTTGACAGGAGCTAGGAGATACAACTGGACAGCTGAAATAGTATTTATTTCTTTACTTCTTGGGCTTTTCTAATCTAATAAGGACCTATTCTTGGGGGGGGCCTGCCCATTAGCTCGGGTGTTTAAGTGCCTGCTGAAACAAAGCAGTCAGGCTCAGGATGCCATGGTTCGATCCCCTCATCCTCAAGCCAAACCAGACCTGCTCTGAAGGCATCCTGAGTGCCTCCCACCCAGAAAAAAAATCCTTCTGGGGGCTGGAGAGATGGCTCAGTGGTCTAAAGCACCTACTTAGAACAAGCTTGGCAAAGCATCAGGGACCGCGGTTCAATCCCCC